TCCCCTTGTGGAGGCCCAACTTTTTCCCTCCGTGGAGCCCAGATCTTGCAGTAGCGGGGACGTGGCAGGAAGACCATCACTCTTCAACAGTTACCCTGCTGGCATCATCTCTTTATTAGACGTGCCAGAAGCCATTTATGCACCAGTCATGTGATTTAACATATGGCCTCCCGGGTGACTGTCGCCCCGCTCCGCCCTGGCTACCACAGAGAGTGCTTGGCGGGACCCGGTGGGGGTGGGGGGCGCGGGCTGCAACATAGCCACCTGGAGGCTGCCAAGCCTGCCAGGTGGCTGCCACCCCCCCCCAGGTGCCAAGCCTGCCACCACACTCCCCCCCCATCCCCGGTGGCCAAGGTCTCCTGCCCCTGATGGCCATCACTTCCTCTCTCGGGCAGGACTGCCAGCTCGGTCCGTCCCTGCTCCCCTGTCTGTGCAGGGGCTGTACTCAGGCTTTGTCTGCACAGCCCTGCCTGGCCTTTCCTCCCTGGAGAGGGGCACTTGCAGCAGAGGCTTCCCCCCCCCCTCGTTTTCTGGGCTCCCCAGCTCAGCACAAGGGAGGCTGTGGGCCCCTCGGCTTGTGGGTGGCAATGTTTGCCGAGATGGCAGCCTCACCCTCCTTCCTCTCTGCCTCCAACTGGGCTCCCCTCCCTGAGGCTGTGGCTAACCTGGTGTGGAGATCAACAGCCCCCCTCACTCCCCTCCCAACCACCCCCCTCATAGAAGCCAGCGGGCCGTGCTGGGATCCCCAGTGTGGGAACTGGCAGCAGCACGCTGGTGGGCGTCAGCCCTGCCACGGCCACGTTCAGCTGTAACCAGAGTGGCCCAGAACCGAGGCCTCAGTGGGTGCAGCTCTTCTCAGCGCTGGCTCTTTCCGACTGGCATTGATCCCTCCTCCTTGTGGGGAATCCCGAGACCCCCTGCGGCCCCCCAGCGCCTCCAGCCCTCCAGGGCGTGGTCCCGAAACTGCCCACCCTCGTCTCCCCTCCCCTTGCCACTTCTGGTTTCACCCTCCTGCCTTCCGCTCTCTGCCCGTGATGTTAAGGACTCAGCACTCCTGTTTGCAGCCTGGTCATCAGGTGGGGTCTCTTGGCAGCCCGGGCGGGGTGTTGTGGGCCGCGGTGTCTGGCCTTGGGCTGCCGTGTCCGTGGCACCGATCCGCCTTCCCTGGGGCCGGTTTCTCCTCCTCGGTGCCTGCTGCCCCTCCCCGACTTGTGACAGTGGCAGGGCCGGTCAGTGGAGGCCCCGCCCTGGGTGGTGGCGCTGGCCGGCCGGGAACAACAGCTGGGACCTCCGATTGCACACAGCCGCCCACCTCTGGGAGCCCGCGGGCTCCCAGAGCAGTGGGGTCGTCCTAGGTCTGTCGAGGGCAGCGAGGCCGCAGCTGTCGGTGTGCCCGTGGTGCGCGGCCAGGCACGTGCCAGTGACTGTCATCGTCAGCAGCCTCCAGTGTCTGTGTGCGGGCCTGGGGTGGGGGGTAGGGGGCCGGGAGCCTGAGTCTCCCGCAGGGGTGGAGCAGTCCCAGGGGAGGGGTCCCTCGTGCAGCCCCCATTTCCCGTCCCAGAGCGGGGCCCATGAGCAGTGTCACTCTCCAGGCATTTGGGAAGTGGCATCCCCTCCCTTGGCCCTCTGAGAGGCAGATTCCCGTCCCCAAATGTGCACAGGAGGACGAGAGCTCACAGAGGCCCCCGAGATCTCAGCAGGTGTGTGGAGCTGCTGGGGCCGGTGCCCAGCTTCCTCCCACCCGAGCCTTGAACCTGCTGCCAGGTTGCTTTGTGCTCTGAAGGAAGGTCCTCCACTGCTGAGGGCCTGCCCTCTCGTGCCTTCACCTGCATTCGTTGACTCCCTACTGTGTACCTGGGCTGAGTCCCAGGAAGACTGTGCGTGGAGCCTCCAGCTTCCCTGTGAGGCTGTGCTTTCTCCTGGTGGAGTAAGGGTGCAGATGGCCCAGGCCTGCCCCGAGTCTTTGGGCTGGGGTGCCGGGCGGGTGTGGGCATTGTTTTGTGGGTGGTTTGGGGGTACCCTGGGGTTGAGGTCCCCCAACTGGGGTGGCCCTGGCTGAGGCATGGCCCCAGGACAGCAGAGACCCGAGTGGTAAAGGAGAGGTCTCGAGAGTAACGGGAGCCCCGACGACCAGCTGCCCCATCGGGCCTGATGGCAAACCCCAGGCCCCCCTGGCCCTCATCCCCGAACTGGTGTTTTTCAAACTTCCCCAGTTGTGAGTCACCCGGGGCGCCATGACCGTGCAAGATTTCCTGGGCCTCTGTGACCCACACCCCACCCTGGGAGGTTGGGACTCCGGCCAGTCAGGAATCCCAGCAGGCCTGTCCCCGGGCAGGAGAGCACCCCTGTTCCATCCCAGGCGTAGCCCCTGGTCCAGGAGGGAGGCTTGGCCACTGGTGACCGGTCCTGGGATGGTTCACTGGGCAAAGATGGACGCCTGGTCCGGGCCCTGCTGAGCACGTCGTCCTTGCCTTCAGGGGCCAGAAGGGCCGGGAGCAAGGTGCCCTGTGTGTCATGGGGTGGCAGGGTCTGCGGCTGGCCGGCAGCTGCACCCAGGGGACCTGGCCAGCGTGGGGGTGATGAGGGGGTGTGGACTGCGGGAGCCCTCAGACGGCTTAGGCAAGGGTGCGGTCAGCTGAGCTTTACTGGGATGATGCTGGTGGTCTGGGACTCGGGGGGGGGGGGGCCAGATGTGACAGCCGTGCCCCATGGCTTGTCCCCGAGACCCTGGGTCTACCCATGGGGGCGGGGCGGCCTCCCATGTAGACAAGGGGTCGCTCTGGTGTCCAGGCTGTGACTTCCCCTGCCAACCTGTTTTTCACAAGTCCCTGAGCAGAAGTGGACCCAGAGGCCTCCACACCCTAGAGGCCTGGCAAGGCCACCCTACCTTCCCTGTGCCAGCCTGCTCCTGACCCTCCCTCGGGGCTAGGCCCTGCAACTCCCTGTGTGCAGGGCTGCAGAGGAGACAGACTGCTGCATGTGTCCCAAACCAACGTGTAGAGTCGTGGGGGGAGGGGGGAGGGAGGTGGGGGGCAGGAGCCTGGCCGCAGGGTGGGCCTCACCATCGGGACTCAGGCCTGTCCTGGGGCTGCAGGCTCCTCGGATGGACCCCTGGGGTGTTTCTGTTCCAGAAGCCACGTTTTCTCACCTCTCTACTGGACACTGGGGTAGCCTCTCCCTGTGCGAGGTTGAGGAAGGAAAGTCCAGGGCAAACGTGGACCTGGCTGGGGTCGGAGGCCGCTGTCAGGTTCCACAGATGCTTGGATCCCGAGTCCGTAGAGCGGAGAGGCCGCAGGGGAGGCCGGGAGCTCTGGTAGGCGGCCGGGCCGTCTCCTCCTGGCCACGGGCCAGCTCGGGCCCGGCTGCTCTGGGGGTTTGCTGAGCTGGTTGCATGGGTGAGACCTCAGGGAGGGCGGGTGAGCCGAGGCCCGGCCGCTGGTGTTTTGCCAAGGACTGCAGGCTAGGCTGCTTCTCTCTGGGCCCGGTGTCCATGCCAGATGGCCGTGCCTTCGTCTCGACAGAGTGGGGACACTCGGGGGGGGAAAAACGGCTTTGCTTTTGGGTCTCACCCCCAGCAGAGTCTCCTGGGCTCCTCACCTCGGTGTCCCCCACCTTTCCTTTGCCCTTCCCCCAGCTCCCCGAGGACGCTGTGCTGAGGTTTCGTTTGGGGGTCCCCAGTTTCCTGCATGGAGACCTTGGTCAGTCCGGCCCTCCAGGCCCCAGCTCTGCACTGTGAGTCACCCCAGTCCCAGGGCCCCTCCTCACACACATCTACCCCATCCTTGGGTAGGCAACCGGTGGGTCCAGCAAGGAACAGCAAAGGGCAGGACAGCGGGGCTCCTGGGCCGCCCAGCCCTCTCGCCTGCTGAGGCCCTGCGGTGCCACCTGGGGGGGCACTGCCAGGCTGGCCGGGGCCACCATCCCTGGGCACGTGCCAATGTCAGCACAGCCTGGCCTCACCGAGGGGCTGGGCCCCGTAGGCAAACCACAGGCTGTGGTGTTGCCACGCCTCGTGCCCTCCGGTCCGGTTGAGGTCACCCCGCTGGAGACAGGGTGCTGAGATCCTTCGAGAACAGCTTGTGTCTCTGTGCTTGGAGGCAGTGGAGCTGAGACGTGAGCCCAGACCGCTACTGTCACCAGACCCGCCGGGTGCCCTGGCCTCCCTCAGCCGCCTCGCCACCGCCATCGGCGAACCGGGCAGGGGGACGGTGTGGACCTCGCGGGGCTGGCGCGGGGCTTGGCGCCCAGGCGCCTGCTGCCCAGGGAGCGAGCCCCTCACTGGCTTCTGTTTACCCGCCGGCAGCTGTGGGTGTGGCCGAGGCTGGAAGGAAGCGGCCGCCTGCGGAGTCATGGGGCCGCGGGGTCAGCCGGCCCGAGTGCCGATCCACAAGGCCGCAGCTGACATCTGGGAGCCCGCCGCACCCCCGAGGCTGTGGTCCCCACACAGGGCAGGTGCAGGCGTGTTGCCTGGGCTCTGGGTCCTCTGTGATGCTGTGTCTGACCTCCCAGGGCAGGGAGGGGTCACTCAGGAGCCATAGAGCACGTGCACCGGTCTCTGTGACTGTCGTAAACATGCAGGGACTTCTGAGGGGTGTGTCATAAACGGTGAGGGGGGCAACCTCCCTGGAGCACAGCTTCGGGGCCTCGGGGGTAGGGCGACAACCCCCTCTCCGCCCCAGCTGTCCCCAGCCTGCCCCCCCCCCCCCCGGCGGGGGGAGGTGGCCAAAGGCGCTGTCAGCCCACAGGGTCCCGCAGAGGAGGCTTCTGGAGGGAAGATGGGTTCCGGGTGAGGGAAAGGACCTGCCCCAGGGGGTTGCTCTTGGGGTGCCCCGGACCCTGGCTGGCAGGAGGGGTTCTGCACTCCCACAGGCAGGCTGGTAGGGGCACAGGCGTGGGACAGGGTGGGGCAGAGGGAAGGAGAGCCTGGGGGGATGTGGGCTGGTTCCGAGTGGGGTGACGGCAGAGAAGCTTGGGAGGGGAGAGGGGAATGTGGATGAATCCCCACGGTCTCGTCACGGTCTGAGTGCCTGTAAAGGGGGGCAGGAAGCGGGCTTTGGGGGGCCTTGGGAACAACCCTCCAGTTCCCAGGGGTGTGGATCCTGTCTGCTGTGTGGCCTCTCCTGGTCTGTGGGACCCCTTGGTCTGTAGACGTGCCTACAGGTCTCCCTCTCAGGTTCTGGAACCTTCACTGTGGCCCTTATTTCGTAGCCACAGGTGGCAGTTGGGTGCCCACTCAGCATAGGGGCTGGTCTCCCCGGTGACCTCCTGGCCATCCTGGAGTTCCCACTGGGGCTAAGGCTGTCCCTTGAGGGGCCCCTTGGGGGCTTTTTGCGTGTCTTGATGTCACTCTCTGTCAGGTCACCACGGCTGCGGGGGGTGGGGACCTCCTGCCTTCCCCGTTCTCCTTGCCAACACCCCCTTCATTTGAGGCCTCTACATGGGCGCCATGGGTTCCATGGAGGGGATCCCAGCACCCCTAACAGCAAGAGGCAGTGAGCACGCTGGCCCAGAAGCTCAGGGTGAATGTGTGTGCGCGCGTGTGTGTGTGTGTGTGTCTTGGTGTGAGTCCATGTGTTTAGCGCTCAGAGTTTTTGCTTTGTTCTCAATGTTCTATGTTCTATGAGGCTTATTGAAAGAGAAGAACCAGGTGCTGAGTCCGGTGTGGGGTCCAGTCCCCACTCTGATGCCTGAGGACTCAGGGTGAGGTTTGGTGACAGGCCTGCTGGCCACAACTGTGGGTGGGGTGGGGCAGCTTTGGGCCGGGCCTTGTCTCCCACACCTGGACCCCAGCAGACTTCCCCGAGAGGGCTGCACAGTAGCTATTTTGGGCCTGGCGCCTGTCCTCTGTCCTGGCTACTCAGCAGTGCCGGTGGGGAGCAGGGAGCAGGAAGGCAGCCAAGGGTAGTCCGAGCACCAGCACGAGCACGCGTGGCTGGGCGTCAGTAAACCCTGACTTACAGAAACTGGAGGTGGCTCTCGGGGCTGTGAGGTCCGTGTGCCCGGTGCCAGGGTGCAGAACCCTTTTTCCCGGTGAGGACACGACCCCGGGGCCCCCGTTCCCCAGGAGTCCCGGCCCATCCTAGTGTGCGAGTCCTCTAGTGCAGGTGGCCAGCACTGGGGAGCAGACTCTGGTATCGCTGTTGGTCAGCAGGGATGCGTGGCCTGTGGCTGCAGGGGCCGCAGCACATGTGGTCCAGGGGGATGGCCTGGCCGTCCCGGGCCACTGGGCGCATGAAGAGCCACATGCCCAGCAGAGGACGGAGATGGGTGGCGGGGCTCACCGTGGCTGCTCCCCCCTCCCCCAGAGCAGAATCCCACCTCGGAGGGAGCCGGGTGCCCCCCTGCGGCCCGTGGCTGGGTGCTCCCTCCCAGGCTGGCCTTACAGCTCCCCCCCACCGCTCTCCCTTGCTCACAGTTACAGGTTACAGTTCGGCTGTCTGGCCACACAGAGGGCAGGAGCAGTCTCCCTGGGGCCCGTGGCCACGGTCCTGTGTCTATGGACTCTCTGGTCATGAGGAGATGAATGTGAACCCCCTGCCCCCACACACGAAGACTTTAGTTTCAGGGGATGGCTGCACGTAGACAAGAGCTTGATAAGAAAGGAAAACCGTGGTTTCCGGGCTTTTGCCACGACCTTGAACGGAAACGGGGCAGTGTTCACACGGTGGGTGTGCCGCCATATTTGTTAACTCATCGACCTCGAGACCGAGGACCTTGAGGGGGCGATGTCCCCGCGGGTCACTGCGCCTGGGCCAGTCCCGCAGCCCTCTGCAGCCGGCTCCCATGTGGCCTGTGCCCGCTCCCGGCCGGTCCGCGGCACTCGGGGACCAAGCTGGAGGCGGTGATTTCCTGCGCGGTGGGCCCTCTTAGCTGGCCTCGATTCTTCTGGAGAACAGCAAACGGAGAAACCATTTGGAAATAGAAAAGGCAGAAGCGTTCATTTGTCGTTTCTACTTCAGTTAGGTTCGTAGTGGACAGTGAGCACAGAAGGGCCGTGTTTCCCTTAACTTGGCGGAAGAAGTCTGTTTTTGTGCGTAAAAAAGTAACAGGTTTTGGCAAAAGGGGCTCGCAGGTGACGTCACGTTTGTTTAGAAGTTACGCATACCTACGCGGCCTTGTTTTTCACTGTTTGGAACAGTGAGTGTCTTCCTGCTGCACCGGGTGTCGCTGGTGAGTTAGTACGGCCTCCCGACATTCCCGGCGCGGGGTCCGGGGGGATGGAGCACTGACCACTGTCTTCAACAACGAAACACCCCAAGGTGCCCAGACGTCTGAATGGAGGCTGCCTGGCCCGACGCTTCCCGGGGAGAGGGCAGGCCTGTGGCTGCGGAGCCCTGTGGGTGCCGCTGTGCCATTGGCCTTGGCCGTGCGTCCTCGTGGGAGGGGTCCTCTTGCCCTCTCGTGTTCCCTTCCCATGGGTCTCGTGGCCCTGTCGACACTGCCTGGCCCACTCTCCTTCCTGGAGCTGGAGGGCCTGTGGGAGGGCCTGGCGGTGCCCGGCAGGAGGGGTGGTCCTTCCAGGCTACGGTGGCCAGGGGTGGTGTGGGTGTCACCCTCACCCGAGGGCCATGGAGACAGCTGAGACCGACTCAGCATTTGGGAGGGAGCCATCTCACTCCCAGACCCAAAGCTCTGTCCTCTCTGGGCTGTGGAGGCCATTGCTGCCCCCACACACGGCCGGCGCCTGGGACCCGGCTCCCTGAGCCCTGTAGGGACCATGCTTGGGGTCTTCCCTTGGGAGGAGGGAGAAGGTGGACAAGGCCCATGAAGAGCAGCCGGCCTGCTCAGGCCATGTCACAGAACCAGAGACCCTGTTCTCAGGCTCCCAGGGCGCCCTGGGAAGTCTCCATCTGCCCCATTCCCCCTGTTACCGTGAAGCAAGGTGTGGACGTCGGGGCCCTGCGGACCCGAGAGCTGGCCGCCGTGCTGGTCACGAGACTTGGTGGAGCACGTGCCTCCCCTGAAATGTCCCACGTGGTGGACACGGGGGGGCGTGTGCCTCCCCAGGTGCTCCGGGCCCCACGGGCCGGGGCCAGGTGCAGCGGTGTCCTCCCGTCCTGACTCTCCCCTTCTGTCTCCCCTCTGCCAGGTCCGGCCTGTTTGGCCTGCCCCTGTCGGCCCCGCTGCCCCAGCCCGAGGACCCCCCAGTCAACGGCTGCCACGGCCCGGCCCCCGCGGAGCAAGACGGAGAGGCAATGCAGCTGGGGACAGTCCCTCCACCGCCTCCCGACGGGGACCAGCCCCCCGAGACTGCAGACCCCAAGCCACCGCTCGTGCCCCCGTTCCCGCCATATTTCGAAGGCGCCCCCTTCCCTCCCCCGCTCTGGCTAAGAAGCACCTACCGGCAGTGGGTGCCGCAGCCGCCCCCCCGGACCATCAAGAGGACACGCCGGCGTCTGTCCCGCAACCGTGACCCGGGTCGGCTGGCCCTGAGCCCCATCCGCCTGCGGCCGCGCCAAGTACTCTGTGAGAAGTGCAAGAGCACGCTGAGCCCCCCCGAGGCCAGCCCCGGCCCCCCGGGTGCCCCGAGGCCGCGCAGGAGGGTGGGCAGCGGCCCTGGCTTTGACAGCGAGCCCCGCAAGCCGGAGGACCCGGCCGGCGGTGGCGACCCCGCGGCCACCACGAGGAGGAGCAAGAGGGAGAAGCGAGAGGAGGACAAGGCCCGGGTGCCACGGAGCCCGGCCATCAAGATCTCCTACAGCACGCCCCAGGGCACGGGCGAGGTCGTGGAGATCCCCTCCCGCGTGCACGGGTCCCTCGAGCCCTTCTGCCCCTCCCAGGCCCTGCACGGCGGCGGCCAGGACCCCGGCGGGCCCAGCGCCTCCATCCCCAAGCTGAAGCTGACGCGCCCCGGGCCCCCTGGCGCCGGCCTGCCGCCCCCCAAGATCCGCCTGAAGCCCCACCGCCCGGGGGCCGGGGAGCGGGAGCCCGTCTACAGAGCCGAGCTGGTGGAGGCGCTCAACGGCCACGGGCGAGGCCCCCGGGCCAGCTCACCCCCTCTCCTGGGCCACGGCTCCGCGGGCCGTGGGCCGGTGGACTCGTCTTCCGGAAGTTCTGGTGAGGATGATGACTTCAAGCGGTGTCCCCAGGGCAAACCCCAGCAGGACGGCCTGGCGTTCCTCGCCGCCTGCCCTAGGAGGGGGACGGACTGTGCCGGCGAATCTGTGTGGAGCGGCGACAGCCTGGACGAGTCCAAATCGTGCAGCTCGGAAGTGCCGTCACCGGACACGTGTGACCTGTCCGGCGACGGTGCGTCTGTGAGGTCCTCGTCCGGGGCCGCGAGGCAGACGGTCCCGCCCCTGACAGTCAGGCTGCACACACAGAGCGTCTCCAAGTGCGTGACTGAGGACGGAAGGACCGTGGCCGTGGGGGACATCGTGTGGGGTAAGGTTCATGGTTTTCCTTGGTGGCCAGCGCGTGTCCTTGACATCAGTCTTAGCCAGAAGGAGGACGGGGAGCCTTCCTGGCAAGAAGCCAAAGTCTCGTGGTTTGGTTCTCCGACTACGTCATTCTTGTCTACTTCAAAACTCTCCCCTTTCTCTGAGTTTTTCAAACTGAGATTTAACCGTAAGAAGAAGGGGATGTACCGGAAAGCCATAACGGAGGCCGCCAACGCCGCGCAGCCTGTGGCCCCGGAAATAAGGGAGGTCTTAACCCAGTTTGAGACGTAAGCCGCCCGGCCAGGTGAGCGCGCAGGGCTGCTCCTGTGCCCCTCCCGCCGCTCTGCTGGGAAGCCTCCGCCCTCTGGCTGGCAGCTGGCAGAGAGGCCCGCTTAATGGCAGCGGCACCCTGCTTTGCGGTTCGCGGAAGAGAGGCTTTCCGAATCGAGTCGTGGGGGATCGTCAGCCACCGTGCGGAGAACAGGGCTGGTTGGTGTTTTGCGGCCATTTTTCCAAGCGCCGCGAAAGATCTCCGTCCCCTTTTATTTGCGTCCTGGAGAAGGCGTGGGGTGTTGGGGGGGGGGAGCTTCCTCTTGGCCACTCACTCTGAGGGGTCACTCCCTCTTCTCTCCCCACGCTGGGGCCGCAGCCCCTCCCTCCTGTCCCCAGTGGGTCCTGACTTGGCCGGCTGCCCTCAGATGCCACTCGCGTGGCCTTAGCCCCCACCCCCCATTCCGGCGGGCGCGTGCTTCCCGGACCTGTGTCGGTCAGGTGCTCCGGGGTCTGTCCCTGGGCCGGTGTCCTGCCCTCTGTCTCCCCCCTAGGAGAACTCTATAGGGCCTCCCACCCCAGGTCTCAGAAGGAGACCCCATGGGCCTGGGGTGTCACCAGGCAACATGTGGGGTGGTCACCATGCGGGGTGTCAGGAAACGGCCGAGGGGCAGAGGCTGCCCGCCGTGAACTTCCCGGGGGGCCCAGGATGCAGGGAGGGGCTGGGTGTGTTCCCATCGGAGGGTGTCGGCTCTGGGGCCTGAGCAGCGGGGTGTGTCCAGCGGTCACTGGCCCCCGTGGTGGCCCCCCCAGTGCCCACTCCCCTCCCTGTCCTTCCCCACGGGAGGAGGCGGGTCCCGTGCAGGCTGCCTGCATTGGACCCGAGGGCGTGTGATGGGGCCCCCCCCTGTGGAGGTCAGGCCATGTCCCTCTTCCGGGCCCCTTAGCCTAAGGCCCAGGCCCACAGAAGCAGAGAGAGGGGAGGCGGGTGTCAGAGGAGCACTCCTCCACCCCAGGGGGGCCTCTGCCTCAGTTTCTGTGACCTCTAGCTGACCTTGTCCGGTCTGGTCCACCTGCCTGTCTGCCTGGCTGGTGCCAGTGTCCCAGCTTGGGCCTTCGGGGCTCAGCTGGGCCGGCCGATGTGTGGTTGGGAAGGGGTTGGTGGGGCACCTGGCGCGGTCCCTCACTGCTGCGCCACGTGTCTGGGGGGGTCCTAGGATTGAGGAAGCAATGGTGAGGGGTGCGCCTGGGCAGGGTCACAGCCAGGACTCCCGAAGCCTTGTCCCCACCCTTTCCTCCACCTACTTCCTGCATCGAGCCTGGTCAACTGCCCCTGAAAGACTCCCAGGGGTCCAGACACAAACCAGTCCTCCCCCGAGGTAGGCACAGCCCTGTGACCTCCGGGTCTTTGTGATGGGGCGTGGGCGCCCTGTGTGTCGGGGGGGGGGGGGGGGGAGTCTGGAGAAAGGTCAGGTGCTCTGGGCATCTCCCCGCTCTGGGTGTGTCCTGTGGGCCCCGGGACCGTCTGTGCCCTCTGCTGCCCCCTTACCTGACCTCTCTGCTCACCCGGCCCCTCCTGCCCTTGGCCTGGTCTGGGGCCAGGGTGGAAGCTGGGCACCTCCCCCACTCGCCGTGGGCCCGTGCTGTCAGCGAGGATGTGGTGAGCAGTCAGTCCTCGAAACTGACCTTCAGATCCCCGGTCACAGTGGGCAGTTCCTAGGGACGTGAGCCCACCACGGTGGGGGGGCGGGGCATGGGGGGCATGGGGGGGGTGGCAGTGTGGCCTGGCGGTCAGGGAGCCCCTGGCTGGGGTGGTTCAGGGCTGGCTCTGTTTACCAGGAAGCAGAGGGAAGAATCTTGCCAGACAGGTTTGCCTGCTGTAGGGGCCCCGTGCCCACAGCCCGGCCTCCTGCCCACTCCCTTCCCCCTCCCTCCCGGCCTCCCTCTCCTCTCTGTATTTCTCTCCCTCTCTCTGTTTCTGTCTCTGAGCATCTCTCTGTCTCTGTCCCTCTGGCTTCGGGGACTGTGCCCATGCTGTCCCCAGTGGTGCGCGGGGCTCTGGGAGCGAGTGATGCTGGCTCTTGTCGGCACCAAAGCACAAAGTGGTCTTGCCCGAGTGACCCTTTAGTTTTGTTGTATGAGGATGGAAGGCTGCCGTGAGGTCCACGCCAGGCAGGAGGCTAATGGTGCTGGTGAGCGGGAGTCTCCCGTCCACAAGATTGCTTTCGAGTGTCAGTGGTGCTGTTTGGGCACCAGGCCCTCTGTTCCTCCAGGGGGAAGCCGGGAACTGCCTTCGCCTCGCACGGGAGCGGCATGGTCGCTGGCACCTGGGCACGCCTGGGAGGAGGCCGGCACGGCCCTGCCGCTGGGGCAGGGGTTGCTGGGGACGGTTGTCCTTCAGGCCACGTCCACTGGCTGCCGAGGCCCAGCCCGACTGGCCCTGCTACCACCCCCTGAGGCACTTGCCGAGAGCCCCTCGGCCCCGGGGGAGAATCTGTGCTGCCGACCAGTGCTCGTCAGTAGGAAAGCAGCACACATCGTGGGGGCAGCCCCCTCCCGGGGCCACCTGGTCCCGAGACTCCTCCGTCCCACTTTGCAGGGCGGCAGGAGGCTCAGCTGAGAGGGGGGTGTCCACAGGGACATTCTGGAGAAGCCCCGAGCCATCCTGGGACTCGGTGGCCAGGGCACCGGTGAGAGCCCAGCCCGGGGCGGGCTCCGGCGACAGGGCACAGTGGTCCTCAGCAAGCACTGACCTCCAGGGACAGACATGGGGCCACCTCTCAGGGCCCTGGCTGCTCGCTTGCTGCTCTGGCCCCGAAGGCTGGCATCTCTGAGCTTCATTTTCCTCATCTGTCTCGGAGTGACCATCGCACCTGCCACGTGGGCCGGGTGGTGAGGGAAGGGTGCCCAGCGGGTCTGGTAATGACCTGTTGGCCATCGCCTTTCTGGCCCCTCCCACGTTCCCTCCCCCAGGTTGCCACAGGCTGCATCCCTGGGGTGGGGACGGGGTGGTGCTCCTGGCTGGATGGGGTGGGTGTCCCCCTCCTGACTGTGACGCTCCAGGGGCTCCAGGGGTCACAGGGCGAGGCCTTTTGGGAGCTGACTGGTCAGGCCTGGCCTGCAGGCAGGCAGCGGTGCCTGACAGGTGAGGGTAACTGCTCCCGAGGGTGGCATCCCGCCCACGGAGGGCCGAGTGCCCCTCCAGATGGGGGTCAGAGGGTGCACAGCGTCAAGGAGGGCCTCCCTTGTGAGTCACGTTCCCCAGACTTGTGCGTAATCACGTGCAGGAAGGTGCTGAGAAGGGGCAAGGGCCCCACCGCAGAGTGTCTGGTGAGGAAGCTGACCTGGACTAGGTATCTGGGGAGGCTGCCTGGAAGAGGCGACACATGGCTGAGAACGGAACGGTGAGCTGATCATGAGCTAATAGGGCGAGCGCCTGTGGCCTTTGGCGGAAGGAATCGCGCACTTTCCAGGGTGGGGCAGGAGGCACACAGCTTGGGGAGGCCAGCGCTGCAGCCTTGTCCTGAGAGCAGAGGGTGCCTTGGGGGCATGTTAGGCAGAGGGGTGAATGGCCCCATTCGGACTGGAAAGACCCCTGGCTGTGGGGTCAGGGGTGGGGAGGTGGACAGGAGGGGAGGGGACAGAGCAGGGAGCAGGGATCTGAGGCCAGAAGAGACCAGCCAGGGATGCTGGTTGTCGGTTCCCGGAACTTGGGGACCACGGTGGCCAGTGTCTGAGTGCCCGAGTCTTGGCTGGCAGGCCAGCACTCAGAGCAATGTTGGACCTGGGGTCGTGGATCCGTGGAATGATCTAGGCCCCACGGGATGGCTGCTGGAGGGGAGGAAGCTTTGGTGCAGCGGAGAGGCAGAGCAAGGTTACGGGGTGTGAGGCCTGGCAGGGGCCCGGAGATGGGGACTGGGCAGGGAGGTGGATGGCACAGATGGGATGGGGCCTCGTCCAGCCTGCTGGCCCCACACGGGGAGAGGGTCGACGGTCATTAGGAGCGTGCCCCGCGGGGCCCAGAGCTATGGGGACAGGAGACCTGGGTCCCAGGGGCCCTGAGAGCACCCTCTGTGCAGCACTCGGAGCCCAGGGACCCTACTGGGCAGAGCCGGGTGGGGGACGGGCTGTTGGCAGTGTTCTGCTGAGGCGTGGGCCAGGCTCTGCGGTACCTGCAGGGGGTGGGGGTGGGGCAGAATGCCGCGCGGGGTCCCTCCCTGCCTTTCGGGCCAGTGGGACACTCCCAGGCTGCATGTGAGCTGGAGGGGCCCCAGCGCGCCCCTTTCTGCCTGAGCCGCCAGGGTGTCGGAAGGCAGGGAGCTTTCCGAGGTCACAGAGCAGCCCCCTCGAGGGGCCAGGAACTGGGTTCCTGCTTCACTGAGCGAACGGCGTCTGGAGGGTTAGCTGCAGCCATGGTCCCGAACGACCACATGCGGGGCCACCGGAAAGAACAGAAATTTATTCTCCTGGCTCTGGAGGCCAGAACCCCAAACTGCAGGCGTCTGCAAGGCTGTGCTCCCTCCGGAGGCCCCAGGGGAGGATCCTTCCAGCTCCCGGGGGCTCCCAGAGTCCCTGGGCTTGTGACCGCACCGGTCACATGGCCTCTCCCGCTCCTCAGTGTCCAGTCTCTCTCTGCCCCCCTCCTGCAAGGACCCCAGGGCGGCCGTGCGAGAAAGCCAGCGTTTCCTCATCAGAGCCCTTAATGTGGTCACACCGCAGCACCTTCCCTGCAGAGGGTGACAGTCCCCTTCCAGGGGTGGGGCCTGAAGTCCTCGGGGCCCCAGTTGCCCAGTGTCCCTCTCATCTGGTCAGCAGATGTTAGGGGCCTGTGTGTCCACCCAGCTTGGGTCCCCCAGCCTCGTCCTTGACAGGCTAGCTGGGCTCAGGGACGGGTCAGCGGGTGGTGAAGGGGACTGGAGCCTGACGGGGTTGTGTGGTGCTGTTCCGGAAGGATCCACCGCCCCCCCCCCCCCCCCCCGGGCGGCTGTGCCTGTGGGCGGTGGGTCCTTCAGGCTGGAAGTCTGCGTACAGGTG